CCCCAAAACCCCAAAACCCCAAAACCCCGAGATTGGGAGGGTTTATTGAAAGAGAATAAGAGAGGGGATTTGGATGATGGTGGGAAACTTGAAGTTGCTGAGAGGTTTTGGAGGGGGTTAGTGAGAGTTTGTTGTGTTACGTATTGAAATTAGAGGTTTATTGGGGGTTAGAAAAGGATTTAAGGCTGTTATTCCTATGAAATATTTTAGTAATCCTTAAACCTTGGAATTTTAAGTTCTTCATTTGATTTCTCTCAACTCCTTAGATCAAGATTCTTCAAGCATAATAATATCTCCCATACTACTTTCTTCCCATCCTTAACTTGTATTCACCCTATTTGCTCTCTTGAAATTATTTTCCACAAAATTGGAAACAACCTGAAAATAGAATTTTAACATTCTCAAAGTTCCATAAAATAACCAAGAACTCCCATAAATGTTGTTTTCTAATCATAAAGAAATTATACAATTACAGTTGCTCTTCATCTTCTTCTAATTCGGCCAATTGCTGCTGTGTGCTCTCTAAGGATGCTATCATGGCTTCTTTGAGATCTTTGTGGGAGCTCTGCAAGTACTTAACTAGTTCTTTCGAAGATTTATAAACTAATAGTTTCAGATTCTTGTCTTTTAACTCTTGGAACAGTGACGATAATTCTTTAACCAGGGGTACTCCAAGAGTGACTTGGTACAAGAACTTATGGACAAGGATTTTGGACAGGGGGTTACTGGGGAGGGAGGTTTGTTTGGATGTAAATATGAGGTATTTTTGGGGGGTTTTGGTGGGAAGGGGTGGAGCTATGGGGGTTAGTTTAAGAGTGTATTTTTCGTCTTCGATGGATAATTCTCAACTAAGATCTTTTGCCAAGACTTGATTTGTATGTCCAGATTTTGGCAAGACCAAATCAAACACATATTTTGTAGTCTTAAAAGGAGCCTTTTCAACAATCTGATTGTACTTTTCATATACACTTTTAAACATACTATTCTTCTGCTGTAGTCTCTTCTCAGTTTGGTATAAAACACCAAAATTGCAAGCTGTATCTTCTTTCACCACTTTATAGTATTCTTCAGTTTCTGATTTCAAAGTCTCTTTTGATTTTTCATGACTTTTGTTAAAACAGTCATACAAATCCCAAGTTTGTCGGTGAAATTTTCTGAAATTCTCTGAAAGTACGGATAGCCCTTGATTGTATTTGAATAATCAAACATCTTTTTCGTATTCATCTATTTGTTTTATTGTCTTTTGTATTGATTCAGTTGAAGCAATCTGAATGCTCATCTTATCAAGAACTTCGGGAATTCTCTTCTTCATTTCAAAATATTTAAGAGTTGTCTCTGTCAGCTTATGCCCAGTATGCTTTTCGATAATGCATCAAATACAAACAAAGGTACTTCATTCCTCTCAGAAACCATCAAATTGTTTCATATGATCTGGTCAATTAGATTTCATTTTAATTCAATGTTCTTTTTCCAAAGTCTCTAGTACAGTCTCGATGTATGGAACTTTTGAAAACAATCCAGTATCAATGTCTTTTCTTCATAACGATCATTTAGGATACGTTTTCATATTTTCTAGTACTCAATCAATTCACCAATACTTTTTACATCATGAAATTGTAATTAATCTTCCTGGGTCTATCACTTCTAAGCAAATAGGGCATTCAATAAGACTGGATATAAAAGAAATACCTTCTAGACCAATCCTTTCCTTCAACTTTTCCAATTCTGCTATCTTTATCGTTGCAACCTCTTCTCTTGTTTTCACGATATCATAGGGTATCCCACAAATTTCAGTAGTTGGAAAGTTCGATCAATATTTCCTATAATTACTTGGTCAATAATCATTGCTATTAGCAGGCTTAAATATTTTGCAAGATTTTCAAAGTACTAAATTTTCCATTTTCTTAAAAATGCTCTCCCTCATCTTATACCAGTCCTTCCCACAAATTACACATCCAAAGACCACCTCCAGCTCCAACATTCCCCTCTAAAACCCCAAAAACCCACCAGCCCTCTCCAATCTCTCCCAAAATCCTCTCCACTATCCAAAGAACCCAAAGTTTCAAAGCCCAATGACCGGTTTCTTCCAAACTAGCGAAATCAATTCTAAATTTCCCCTAAAATTTGTGAATAGTGCAGTAGGCTGATTTAGAGGGGACTGAGTACGAGGTTTAGGGGATTTTAGTGGTGAGGGAATGGGATTGAGGGTGTATGGAGGATGGAGGGTGGCTTAGAGAGGGATTAGGAGGGTGAGGGGGTGAGGTTTTGTGGATTTTTGGAGGGATTATAGAGGGTTGGGTTAGAGGTTGTTTAGGAGATGTGGAAGTATTGGGTTTGGGATTTATATTGGGGATTTTTAAAGGGGTTTTGGGGTTTTGGGGTTTTGGGG